CATCAAAATAGTTATTAAGTATTCAGAAAATTAAAAAAAAAAACAAATACAAAATTAAAATAATAATACATTCAGTAAAATAATACAAATACACGTACGAATACGAATACAAAAACAATGCACCATTTGTGTGCGTGAATGTGTTTGGTTTCTTTTTTTTTCATTTCCATTTAAGTGTTTTGTGTTTGTGTGAGTTTGTGAATTTGCTTAAATACTAATGTTTGCTTTTTGGTCCAATACAGTTGCAGTGATATACAAATAAAATAAATAAGAAAGGGGGTGAAGGTGATGGTGAGCGGGTGTGTAGTGTAGGGGTGGTGGATAGGTGTAGATAAATTGTTCGTATCTATACGTGAGGTGCTATACACACACATACATATGTACATATATATGTAGGTATTTTGCAAATAACTCAATACTAATGCTGAAAAGCGTGCCAAAAGTGAAAATTTTTAACTTAAAAAAAAATTAACTAAAAAATTAAAAAAAATTTCGCAATTGTAAATATTTTCTATAAGCAACATTAACAACAACATCGAAAAATTGAGAATTATCATAGGCAACATTTAGACAAAAAAACAAAAAAAAAACGAAATATAAAAAATAGTAAAACTTTTAAGCGGCATGTCAATTTAGAGTTTAATAAGAGGCGCAACACTATCACATAAATGCTGACCACAGCTGCCGACACAACCGCTACGTTGCCGCCGCTTACATAAAATATATACCTACTATACATATACTAGTTAAAATACGTGCTTGTTGGTGAGTGAGTGAGTGTTCGAATTTGGCTGGCTACACATGCATAGACAGACATCACGCGCGCGCACATACATACGTGCCACACCTACTACATACATACATATCAATCTCAATGTGTGTGTGTGCCCAGTTCTTCGTCAGGACCTGACTGGCGGATGCGCTTAGAAGGGACGTCTTAACTTTGCAATGGCATTCGTCAAATGCAGGATTTCGGTGTTCATTTGCTGCACCAGCGTATCCAATTTGTCGACAGAGTCCAGAATTTCAACGCGTTCGGTGTGCGGGTTGAAGCGCACTTCGAATGGACGCGACATGGTCGACACCCAGCGACGGAACTTATCTTTGGCATCTTCGAAACTTTCGGCAACATAGTAGATGGGCTGGTATTCCTGATCCTGATAGGGCTGCACAGCAGTGGAGGCGGGCTCGAATGCACGGTGCTCGCACTTGTCGCTAATGGCGTGCAAGAGTTCACCGTAGGATGAGAGCAGACCAGCGCCGTAGGCTTTCACCTGACCGTGTTCCTTGCAGAGACCGAATTCAACGGTGAACCAGTAGACCTGCAGAGCGAAAAAAGCAGAAGAAAAAGCAAAATCGGAGGAGTGGTTAGTAAGCGCCGCTTAGAAGAAGCATTGTCTTTCGTATGGGAAAAAATGTTTGATGTAATGGAAAACTTGACACTGACACTTGGCCTTTGTTGGCGCGCAACAATGGTCACAGCAGCGCGCGATTTGGCAGGCAAGCAGCAGCAGCAGCAGCAGCAGCGACAGCAGTGTTTTTGACCTCAATCGCTGGCAATTGTCAAGCGCAATAGCCATAGTTTAGCTTTAGCATTGAATTTAGTAATGATTCTTACGTAGTAAGTAAGTAAGCTTCTTACTTGTATGGAAATATAAGTCAAAATTTTCAACTGCACGCTTGTGCTTATTCGTTTTTTGTTTTTCGTTGTGTATTATTTTTTCAGCTTTGCTGCTTTTTAAGAATTTTTTGGCTGCCAAAGTCGATGTTTGCCGTATTTTCATGATTTCTTTTTTTTTTTGGCTTTGGCAATCGTGTAGTTTACAGCCGCGCAGTCACAAGGCCATCAGCCGCAGCAATTGCAACCCACAGCGGCCGCGCGCATGCAATTCAAGATTAAGTTAACCAATAATTGCAGCAATGCACTTGTCCTCCCAGCATGCCCACTGCCAGCGCTGTGCCAAGCGCACGAACTTGAATTAAGCAGCTACCAAGTTTTTTATATATATATAGTACAACTAGTAATGATACCTGATAGCGCGCGCAAGTACTTAAACTTGGCTTAGAAAACTTGCGTTCGTTGGCGGTGCGCGTTCTTGCGCGCTCATACCAGCGCAGTGAGGCAGTGACAATGGCAGTGATGGTGGTGGTTTAGATGACGGCGCGTTCAGTGCGCTGGACGCAAGCGACGTAAGCTAAGGCCACATAGAGGAGCGCGCGCGCGCAAACTCTAGTGAACAGCACAGAGACAAGCAGCAATGCTCACCGTCGCTAGCGGCGCGCGCGCTCTCCTTGCCAGCTGGCGCGCTCGTGTGTTAGCGCATTAGCACAACTATTGTGATTAGCTAGGGTGGCTTTGACTAAGTGGGCGCGCGCGCTTACAACTGGTGTAGCTGCTAAAAATGCACTAAAATGTTTAAATTGGCAATTAAAGCGAGCGCTTAGACAAATTAAATGCCAAATCGATATTTTTTAATGTGGTGTTGTATTTCTGCATGCTTGGCGCTGTTGCCAGATTTGCTTAGCTGGTGGCCGTTGCTGACTGTGCCACTTGACTTTTAAAATTAAATTTGTTTTAATAAGTAAATTTGTGCATTCTCGATTATTTGTTTTTGTTTTTTTTTTTTTTCGTTGCAAACAAATATGCGGCGCCAAGGCTATTAGCGATAGTGCTAACAAGCGCGGTACATGAGCATGATTTTTTATGATTTTTTGTGGTTTTTATTTGTACTTACAGTGGATAGTTTTTCGATTTCTTCATCGGAGGCACCCAACGAGGCTAAGCCAATCTCTTGTGAGAATTGTGCGAAGCTAGGATCGGCTAAGAGTGGCATATGACCGAGCAGTTCATGAATGCAATCGCTGTAATTAAAAGAAGGAGAGAGAAAAATGGAAAGATACATATATTAGTAAAAAGTGAGGTTAAGTACGAGAAAATAAATATAAAATCAATAAATACTAATGAGTGCAACTAAAGTTAGCTAGAGCCTCGTAATTGCAACACCCTGGACAGTATAGGCCATACTTAAGTGACATCAGCCCACTACCCAAACCACTCCACAAGTGAAACTAAGTCCAGCTTCGTTCAGTTCTTCATTAAAAAAATTTTTACAATTAACCTTCTATCTTCCTATTATTGAAAGTAGGAATAATGTAACATCACTCATAATTCAATATGGTCATCGAAAATATCTTTTAACTCAATCCCATCACCCTAAGCAGCCAACAAGTACGGCTGCTGGTCACTAGCGCCCCAAGCTGCCTCCTTAAACTTAGTTAAATTTCTAAACTAATTACCCTGCAGTAATGGAACTGCTCTACTAAAGTGTGCCAAAGTGCTAAAGTGTCGTCAATTGCCAACAAAAATGTCATTTTCACACAGCAACACAAAACTCGTCCAGCTATCCTGTCAACTATCCGCTCGGTGGCTACAGCTTTTGTTTCACAAACGCCCCAACTCAACGACCCATCTCCCAAGCAGGCTGCAAAAGTTTCCCCACACAATTACAGGTTTCCGTCAAGTGACGAGCTCTTAGATACTTTTCATTGTTATACAGCTACTGCCACTCGAACGACACAGGCCACAGTCGATGTGGTTGTTGCCACATGAAAGCATATTTCCTGTCAAATGAAATTAGTGCATTTTGCTTTGTACTTTGACTACTACTTGACGATGCTTAAGTTAATTTGTCTCGCAGCGCAACAATGTGCCCAACTGGCAGCAGGAAGCAGAGCACAAAGTACAACGCCTGCGACAAAATTACCCCACTTCAATTCCTACCTACATACATACTTATGCATATATATATTTCTATTGTACCTACCTAAAAATTTCTTAATTCTACTACGCTTACGGCAAACACTTACGGTTCGGGTGTGTGGAATGGTGAGTTGACGTGACGCACATATTGTGTGCTCTGGAAGATGCGGAATGCCAGCGAGGCGAGAAAATCGCGTGCGGTCAATAGACCAGCAGCGGGACGTAGTGTAAAGCCGGTGTTGCGACGCAAAAAGTCCGACATCTCTTGCAATTGTGGCAGCCGGTGTTCGACGAAGATTTCCTCGTCGCGCAACATCTGGAAAGCGGCGCGATATTCTTGGCAAGCATGCTTCTTCGCCAAATCGATGACAGTCAAGAGCACCGAACGCCAAGTCTTCACCTCAACATCGGTGTATTCGATGTATGGAATTGGATCGCCGTATTTGTAAGCGAAAGCAATTTCCGCAATTTCCTTGCGGCGTTGGCGATAGACTTTATCCGCAAAACCGGGATGGTTCATATCCAAATCGGGTTCGTATTTGGTCATCAAGTGATTGCAGTTATCCAATTCGGAAGCATGCTTGGGGAACCATGGTGCCTTCACGCTGATATTGTGTTCAGCCAAGAGACTGATGCTATTGAACGAGCCCGATTGACGCAGTGAACGCACGAGTTGCAACAGGTTGCCGCGTGTCATGTCGACCTTAATGAGTACATCATGATCGACGCCCTGCTCGCGTGAGACGCGCGATTCGACATGTTGTACGGCACCCTTGAAGGTTTCGATCGCCTTCAGTATGCGACCGAGCGAGGAGATGCCCTCCTTGAGGCGTACAATGAGCGCTGCGCTCTGCATGGCATTCTCCGCTTCGGTAGATTCAGCGGCGGCGTTGGCGAGTAAAACTTCTTCCTCGGTGAGACCGGCATCTGTACGTGGTGGGGGGGGAGAGAAAACGAGAGAAGGAGAGAAAGAGAGCATAAGTTCATGTGTGTGTTAACAAAGTAATTGCGCGCGATAGTTTCTAACGTTGATTTCCATAACTAGTGATGTTAAATATAAGCCACTTAAATCCGCTTTGCATGCTCAGCACGCTTAACAAGTGGTTTAATGCAAAAGTCAATTGCGCTTATGACATAGTCGCATTAAGAATGAATAAGAAGCGGAATGACAGAACTAGTTGACAAATGTGTGGGCTAAAAATACACAACTCAGTCGCTTGGCTGCTTGAAAACGGATGAATGTGTGTGTGGCGCGAAATTGCGAAGAGGCTTTAACTACAATTTTGCTGCTCCTTTTTTTTGCTTTTCTTCTACTCTGCATTGTTAGCGCGCAGTCAAGCGCGATAGATTTCTCTTTTATCAACGCTCACACCCACCCTCCAGCCAAGCACCTTTTTCATTGAGTGTGACATAATAAAATCAGCGCTATAAAAATAGCATCGGCATAAGTGTATGCAATGGCAAATGGAAATGCTACGAGAAATGTTAAAAGGAAATGTGCGATTTTCACATTTGAAATGTTGCGCGTACGTGCCGCACTCGACGCACATCCTTACATATGCTAGCGTACGTCCTTGCTGGCTTGCTTGCTGCTATGGCTTATATGTGGAGTATGTGTGGGCGTAGGAAGTAAGCGTATTAAATGGCAAATGCTTCATCATAATCATAATGCATTTGATGGTAGGTTTTTTTTATTTTTTTTTTTTGATTCTGCTATTAACCCTAAGCCTGCCTGGGATTTATGTTTGTATGTGTGTCGTCGCCAACTGTTGCTTGCTTACCATTTGCGTTATTGCTGTCATTGTTGCTGCCTTCACCCTGTGCAGCTGCACCCAATGAGGCATTGACGGTTTCGTTATGGGATTCTGAGTCATTTCAATGGAAAAATGAAAATAAAATAAATAAAACGAAATAAAATTAATACAAAATAGTAAACAAATATTAAATAATGGTAAGTAAGCGTGAAAGAATGTAAAATTAAAATATTAAATTAAAAATTTAAAAAATTTTAAATATTTTAATACTAAAAAAAACTTCGAATGAATATAAAACAAAGTTAAAAATGGTAAACATTTAAATAAAAGCAAATTTAAAAATTTTAAGTCAAAATCAAATTCCGAAATAAATAGCCCTATTTTTCATTCAATATACCTTCAAGGATTTCTTGTACTTCAGCTGGCATTTCCACATTCTCAATTGACTGATCGGCTTGCAATACGATTTCTTGCTCAATTGGAGCACCCTTAGCTTGCTGGATGCATTCCTCCAAAGTGGCCTCGTCTATGTGACCGAAATAAAAAAATAATAAAATAAAAATAAAAAAAAAACATAAATAAAAAGTTTACAAAAATTATAAATAAATAATAAACAAAAAGTTAAACACAAAATATACCTAAAATCAAATTAAGCATGAATAGGAAGTTTTAGAAAAAGTAACCCAGAAAAAAAATTCTATTCAAATTTTTACTAGAATTCACAAACTAAATTTATCATCGAATTCACGTATAAAGTGATAAACTGTTTTCAAATTGAAAAAAATTTTAAATATAAATAAAAATTATAAACAAAATTTTTTTATGAAATTTCACAAAATTAATTCATCACCGAGTCCAAAGAGTTGTCGGAATTTGACTAATTCTTTTTGATTATGTTTTTTGTGAATACCATTTTCTACGCTCATAAATGTTGAATATAATTTTTTTTTTTTTGGAATTTTTTATATTTATTTTGCAGCTTTAAGCCAAAGCAAAGGAAAACTGTTTTTTTACACACATATTTTTTTTTTTAATATTTCAATAATTTCCTTATAACTTTTTTTAGAATTTTACCCTATGCTCATCTCCATGTCTATTTAACGTAGTTGCAGAGAGGAAACAACTAAATAGGGTCATCATTCCTTTTCTTGCCTTTCGTTATAAAAAAAAATTAGAACCATAGATCAAAACTCTAACCTTTATAAATGTGGCATAAAGCTGTAGCCAGATTGCGCAAACAAAATGCTTGCAATTTCAATTCCAAGAGTAAGTAAAGTATAGCACATAAGAACAGAGGAGAATCGAAAAAGAAATATCGGAAACAGTTTTTCAGACAGAAATTCCAAAATTTTTTTATTAAATTCTTTTACTAAGTTTAGCTTATGCCTGTAAATTTTGAAAACATTGATCCTACATTTTTAATTAGTTATTTGAGAACGCGCTACCCATGCTTATATATTTAGCTATAATTCTAGTTTTTGTTTTTATTTTTATCTCGTTTTTCTCTATTTTACGCTGATTTCTTGAATTACACGCTCACTTACCGTTAGTCTTTTGGCGCGCTTCCTCCAGCACAGTTTGTTTATTTTGCTTAACAACCAGGCTTTCAAAGCGTGCATCGTCCACCAACGAGCGGCGGCGCGATGGATAGCCATTCTGTAAACGAGAGAGGAAGAGAGGGGAAGATTAGAGATTAGAAATTAATTATTTAAAAATCGGATTAAAGAATTAATACAAGTCTGTAATTTGCCCCTGCCACTCTAGCTTCAATATACATATTTTCTCTCTTTACTTTTCTCATTTTCATTACATTTTCATTTCTCAGTCTTACGCACCCTAATAGCATTAGTGGCCAGCCACCACCACCACCACCACCATCACCGCAACCACTACAACCGGAGTAATGTGTTGCCATTGGCTAAAAAGCTTTTAAGCGCCTTTTCCACTTAAATTGTTGAACGTTGCGTTGAGTGTTTAACTGCATGTGGGGGTGTGTGTGTGTTGGGTACTTGAGGTTGGGGGTGACATGCTGCAAGCACGCACTCACGAAATCAGTTTGAGGACTTTTATGTGTGCGTGAATATATGTATGTTGGAGAACAGTAGACACTTGAAAAGTGCTAAAGCGGATATGAGCGGGAAATTGGCGCATCAATCGCAGCTTAAACGACTATGAAGGAAAAAATTGTGGATATGAGTGTCACAAAGGCTGAAATGTTGGGGAGGGCAAATAAGTACAAAAAATCAAGTTGAGAAGGGTATTAGCCACTGAAATTTAAATCTTTTTTTCCTGGAGGATTTTGGCTAACAATCGCCATTTAATGTCAAACAAAGTCTTCGCACGCAGTGAGTTGTGGAATATTTTCCGCGTTAAATGCCTGCCTGCAGATCACTTGACACTTATGCAATATGATTTTTGTTTACTTTTATTTTTTTTTTTATTTTTTTTGCTTTTGTTTTGTCCAAGTAAACGGGCCCGCCGCAACTGCGCCATCGACATACATACATACTTCCCTACAATTATTCATCATCCTCAGTCAACATATTATTTTCGTATGACACAATTTAAACAAATACATAAATATATGCTTATGAAGATGCTCAGTGTATTACAATAACAACAACAACAACAACAACGAACAGGCATTTCATCACACCTGTAGGTAGACTGGCCAACCAACCAACCAACCAGTTGACCATCCGCATTACCATGGCTGGCTGCTGCGGCTGTTGGTTGATTGGCCCAATGCTCCACTGAACTCTACGCGCATAATGGTCGCTGCTTAACAGTGAGGCGCTTTGTTTAGTGGTTGTTGTCGTTGTTGTTGTTGCTGTGCATGCTCATATGAGTCTGCAATGTATGGCGTTGCCGGTTACAAAATCGCCGCCGCCGCTGCTGCTGCTGAGTTTGCCACTTGGAAGTTGTTGAAAACGAAAGTAGTGCTGCTGCTGCGAGGCTCTTTGATTTCATTTTTTTTTCTTTTTCGATGATTTTGGAAGTGTTGACAACTCAACAGCGCAAGCGTAAACGCATTTATAAGTGATCATTTTTCGAGCTCTTTGTTTTATTAGCAAGCAGCAGCGAATAAAAAAAAATAAAAATTTACCGGCTAATAACTGGTTTTGGGTAGCAAAAGATGATAGCAAAATACATAACAAAAAGAAAAACAAAGCCTTAGCGGAAAAATGCTATGCTCATTGTTTATTGTTGTTTCTGTTATTTTTTTTTACACTGCATACTTATGTGTGTGAAAAATGCTCGTGGCTTGCGTTGAAAAATTAATATCTTAATTTTTTCTCGCTGTACTACGCGCATGCGCGCACGCCACAGATCGCTTCGTATTGACTTTGAGGCCAACTCTTAGCGCGACATAATTTTGAATATATTTATATATATTCAGCTTGCGTTGTTGTTATTGCTTTTGTTGTACATTGTTGTCGTTTTTTTTTTCTTGCCTATATTTTGAACTTTCGTTCGTAATCTTAAATAACCAGCATCCAAATTGAGTTATCAAGTTGTGCCCGTAGCGCGTGAACGTTTAAGTGGATGTATTTTGATAGCTTTAAGTGTCAAATTTGTATAAATTTGTTTATGAATGAGTTTGGGATAGCTGCAGATAATAAGCTTAAGTCCACTATTGAGATATCAGTGCGCATTATTGGGCAAACAATGGGATTTGTGCTACATTAAATATTGTATTATTTATAAATAAATTTTTGTCTTGAAAATCGAAGCTCGTGTCAAGCAGGAAGTATATTGCCAGTTGATTTTTTTAAGATTATTATAAAAAAATTAAGACAAATGCGACAAAATTTTGGCCATAATGGACTAAATAGAATTTATGTCATTTTTCTGTTAGCGATGTTGTGATTACAAATTTAATTTTTTTTTTTGTAGCAATGACCTTCGCATGACAGCAAATTTTAGGCACACGGTCAAGTGTGGAAAAAGCTGATGAAAGAGTGGCAAGTTTTTAAGTTACGCAGATGATGGGCAGTTTTGGAAAAATATGGAGAGGGAAAAGTATGAACATCAGTGGCGGCAAGCAATTTTTTAAAGCGATTTCATTGCCTCGCTGACAAGTGATCAATTGTGCAGAGTTTACTTGCAGCTTTTCTTGCCCATTTTTTATTCAAGTTTTTATTTTTGCTCTTCTGTCCAGCTGCCGTTCGTTGGCACACACCCACTTTCACTCTTCGACGCTTTATTTGAATATTTAGTTAAATAACTTTACTGTTATTTATGTTGTCACTGAAAAGTTTCCCAGCGCTTCCCTTCACGTCGCCAACAGGTGACCAAAAGCTTGAATAGTGGTGGCTTTTGTTTGATAAAGTGATCAATGCTGATAGGCAGCTGAGTTGCATTGCAGCTTTGCGTAAATTGATGTTATCTTTGTTAATGACCGGTTTTTTTTTTAATATTTGAAATATAAAAATTCCCACAAAATTTGCTAAGTTTACTTTGATGTATTTGACAATTGTCACGTAGACCCCATCTAGCTATTTTGTATGGGTTTATGTGGGAAAAAATTAGCAATGGCTTCACCGCCAAAAAGATGTCAGCGACATTTTTTCAAAATTTTATTTTTGATGCAGAAATGCATCTGGATGCTCTAGGAACATTTCTGCATCAAAAAAAAAGGAATTGAAAAAAAATCGCTTACACCATTTTGGCGGTTAGGGCTCGATTCGTGAAACATTATCGGAGGGAAGCCCGTAATTCGAGCTTTGGTGCTTAACTTTTTTGGAAGCTGCTTTTGTGTTAGAAAAACAAACATTCTTTTTACCAAAAAAAAAAATTATAATTTTTCATTGAAAAGTTTGCAAATTATTTGATGTACAAATTCGCCATTTTAATATAGATTTTTTTTTTAATTATAAATTTAAGAGGTGTCAAAAGTTTTTAAGTTTTAAAAATTTAAAAAGTCGGAATTTAATAACATTTTTTTACAAAAAAATGTGTATAGTTAACACATATAAAATTTCTATGGGTACTAAAATTTAAATAAAAAATTTTTAAAAGATAAAATTTAAGATCAAAAGGTGCATAATTCATTTTTTTAATTAATTTAAAACACAATTGCTCAAAGTTATACTGATATTTTATTTGCATCTTTTAGACACCACTGATCTATCAACAAATGCTTTAAAACTTGTTCTTTAAGTTTTTGTTTTATTTTAAATTATTTATAATTAAAAAAATAAAAATTAAATTAAAAACAATACTAAATTTTTTTTTGTTATTTTTATAATTTTTATTTTTTTTTTTTTGTTTGAAAGATTTAAAAAACTTTTAGGTTTTTTTTTTCAAAGTTAAACTGTTCAAAACTCTGGCTAGCTTAAATTATAAGGAATGGAAAGAAATAAACAAAAAATATAACTAATTTTATTTAAATAAATATTTTGTAATTTTTTAATTTTTTGTATAACGTTTTGTAAGCTAAGTGGAAAAGAAGCTTTTGAATCTTATAATTTTGTGTAAAAATCTTGGAGCCAACACTGACAAATATTTTCATATTTCTTGCATTTTTACAGTTTTTTCTCTAAAGAATGTATTACAAAAACGGACATTTTAAGTTTAAAAGTGTTTTTTTCTGGCAATGTTCGTAAAGAATAATTAAAATTTTTTTAAGTTTGAAGATTCCTTGAGCGCAAGAAAATATTACTTATTGCTTTTATTTCGATTTTGGATCTAAAAAAAAAAAATATTTAAAATTTTTTTAACACAAATAATTTAGTTGATCAAGTTTTCCAACACAAAATGCTTTAGAATTTTAATAGTTGCATTCGTATTTGAAAAAAATATTTTTTAAACTTTCAATGAAAACCTTTTTGGGTTTTCACTTTTTTTAGTTCCAATCAAAACCCTAAAAAAACATGTCAAAATTTCACATTCAACTCACCTCAATACTGTAGGATTTTTTGATAGCGAACATTTCGCGGTTCTTTTGTGCAGCTGCTACGGCCATCATTTTGTTTGGTTTTGTTTTTTTTTTTAAATTACTTGTATGAAGAAAATTCAAAAATTTAACGCAAAGTGCAATATGTTACACTTTTGTTTTACTTAAATTTCTTGTTTGTTTATTTTACAACTGTTTTCCGAAATAAGCCTACGAAATGCACTTTCACTGCTTATTTCACAACAACAAAAAATTTTCTTGCCCAAATTTCTGTTAATTAAACTTTAAAGTAGTTTGCCTCTAACGTGTGTTTGCGTCTATGCAGCTCCAGAAATCACACAATTTTTACGTATGGATTCGTTTTGTTCTTTCTTTAACGAAATTCACAGGATCAGCGACTTGATATCCTTATCGGCTTGATACTTCTTTTCGTATTTAAAATTGCAAAATTTCCAGTTATCGAAACTTTTTATGAACTTTTCGATATATAACTTTTGTATCCTTTCGCGTTGTAAGTGTAAATTTACTAGCAGGCAGAAAAGCTAATTTTTTTTTATATTTTGTGTATATTACAACAAACACAACGTTTTTAATTAATATTTATTTAACAAACTACTTAACTTCTTAACCAAAGTGGCAAGTCTTAAGAGCGAATGATAGCGAATCAATGCATGTCTGGTGTCCGGCGGCGGTTGCTTAAATACCCTCAACGCGTACGTACGGCAGGTACGAAACGACAAAAAGAGCCGCCGAGCCGAAGCTGCCGCGGCGTCGTTGCTCTTGGGGTGGCGGTGGCGCAAGTGTGAGACTCAGTGTTTCGGTGTGTGTGTGTGTGTGTATGCGGGTGTGCGCGCGCGTTGGGGCTGTGAACGGAGAGCGTGCAGATGGGCATCTCGAAGTGACCGCTCGAAAAGCTGCTACAGGTTGTGTTGTTTTGTTTTTTTTTTTGCTTAACAGGTGATGAAGACGTCATCAGCGCGTCGGTTAGCACAAGATGCGCTCTCTCCCTGTCTCTCGCAGCATCACAACTGCCAAAAAGAAATACAAACAAACAAAAATATTGTATCGAAAACAAATGACTTGTTGGCCGCTGGTCGTGGGGTTCCCTCACGCTTGCGCACATCAAGTTCAAGTTACAGAGTGAATTCTATTGAAAACGACGCGCGCTCACCGCTGAGATGCTGACGTGAATCGATGGTATTGGAATCACCCGGCGGACTAGTGCTGTTGCATTACCTTTGTTGTTGCCGATCTCTGTTATGTGCTGTGTGAGTTTTGGTTTGGTCCAGCAAAACGCGCTGCGTTGTCAGCTGAGTTCAAAATTGAGCGCGCGACAGGTGAGCGTCGGCCAAAGTGAGCTGGTTTAGCACGCTTGCGCGCGTCATCATAAACCTCGGCGGCGCGTCATTAGCACGCTGTTCTCGGAGAAAACCTTTTTGGCCTTTTTTTTTTTTTTTTTTTAATGCTATTTTTTTTTTTGTTATATATGGCGGATACGCATGCATGCGTACGTATCTGTTATGTTTGTGTTTTTAACTTCATACACTTTCTAATTTTGGGTCAGTCTTTCCGGGAAAATCCAGTGTTGTTCCTTATATTATGGCGGGGAATTTTCGACCGATATTTATACATGCCTATATGTACGTATGCATATTAAACCATTAGCTCGAAAGGATTCCAATTTATGTGTTCCAAACATAGTTTTGCTTAAAAAGACGAGAAATTATTTCAATGAAAATTACTTTAGATTCCAAAACCGCCAGTTTGTATATTATTTGCAAAAAAAAAATTATCTACATGCCTATGTTCATACATATGTACAATAAGGTGCATTACTAAAAAAAAGTTGCGATTTATTATATTTTAAGGCGTCTGCCAAAATATTTCGGAAAATAATAAGATTTATGTGAGCGAGACGATATGAAAATACCTTCAAAAATCTCATTATTTTGATTCTAAGCTTAAGCACTTCTATCATCTGAGGTGAGTTTTTAGTAAAAAAAAAAATTTTTTAAACTTATTTTTATATAAAACAAAGCTCATTTTTTGGAGGTATTTTGTAACAGGTAAATCTTAATATTTTACCAAAATATTTTAGCGGAAATCTTAAATAAGTAATAATAAAATCTATTTTTCCTAGGGAAAACAATATCAATGTGATTCACTCTAATGTACAGTAAATATTTTCTTAAAATAATTATCTAATTAAAATTAAAAATACCAAATATAAGTATGTTGACCTTTAACGGTCAAAATCACTCTTCATCGTAAAGTATTTCGAAGGATTTAAGTTTTGATCAGCGCTGCAAACCACTCCAAAAAACGGTGCGGTTCGGTGCAGTTGTTCGAACCGCTTAGAAAACGCTTGTACCGGTTCAAGAGCCGGTTACAAATTTTTCAAAAATATGAGAAATCTATGTAGTATATAGAAAGTTTTAGCCAAAAAATGAAACCGATTCCAAATTCTCATATAAAAATGTAAGATTATCGTTAATTTCTTCATGATCCAATGATCGGATTTAAACCAAATTAGAATGGGACCACCTGTGACGTAACACAGTTCCTTCAAAAAAAAAAAGAATTATAGAAATCGGTTAACGTGGTCCAAAGTTATGCGGTACCATACATAAAAGAAAAAAAATATTCCGACGAACTGATAAACTTCTCCTTTTTGTGAAATCGGTTAAAAAATAAAAGGCTTTGTTATTGAGATTAAATTCAAATATTCGCATGTATATTGGCGAAAAAATAAATAGGCACTCGGTATTTCAAAAATTTTGGCTATATTTTTTTTTGTTTATTTAATGTTAATTTTTTTAAGTATAGTTAATCGTCTAACAAAAACCGAATAAATACAAATTTAAAAATTTTTGCCAAAATTATGAAAATTTTTCAAGTTTCATATATATTTTATTTAATGGGAATTTCCAGAAAAAAAATTTATATAAATAATAAAATAAAATTTAGAATAAAAATAAATAATAGAATAAAATTTTATATAACAACAACGATATAAATCCAAATTTCAAACTCTGTACGAAAATTAGGAAAAATCTACAAACTTCAACAAAATTTCATTATAGTTTCAAACTTTTTAATCAGAACAAAAATAAACCGAGTATGCAGTTTTTTAGCTCATTCAATGTACTGTAATATGATGCAGGTTTGAATTACATACCTTAAAATTCGCACCGATTTTTGATTTTTTTTTTTGTTGCTTGCGGTGATATGCGTTTTCTTCCATATAAAAACATTTCAAGTTTTACCATAGGGTTGCATTTTCAAACAAAGTTGTGTTTTAAAAAATTTGCAAAATCCTTTAGTGGATTTTGAACCGAATCGAACCATTTTTTGGAGTGGTTTTCGGTTCGATTTTGGCATTTGAAAATAAAAATGGTTCGGTTCGTGGTTTGGAGCCTTGGTTTTGCTGCATAAAAAGTCCATTAGAAAGTTTGAATAAGTTTAATTTTAAAAGGCCCTTGAGAAATTAGAAGATTTTCCCCTAGGCATCAGGTGACTCTACAACGTTTGAAAAATTGTTTTCCTTATTTTTGTTGACTTTGAATAAACTATGAGGACCTCCGAAATGATCTTCGAATAGGTTTTTAGCCAGCAAAAATTCATAGGCAATTAATCTTCGCATTTTATCGCAAGCTGCCCTGGCCAGCAAATAATTATTATTACCTAAGACTTGTTGTTGTCAAAATTCTTTACTCCAATGCTTTTATTGATCTTTTGACGGGAATTCGAGAAAGATTAAACTGTGCCTGGCCGACCGCCGTGTGTCTGAATGTTTGGGAAAAGAAAATTAAAAAACTTTTACGACTTTTTTTTTAATTTATCGAATTCCTCGAAAAACCATTTAACAATCCCTGCTTCATCATTTGGTGCCGGAAAAGGTTCCTCTCAGCTTGGGTGCAACTTTTGGCGTGGATTCCAAAGTAGGATACGCTTTTGTAGGTTATCTTCGTGCTATTAATGAAATATTGGGGAACTATGAAAGAGCTTATATACAAAAATAGAATAGTTTTTTAGATACACTTGTCCAAATTTAACTAAATTTTTTTCTTTAAATTGGTACAATTTGAAAATTTTCCATCTCCGCTTTTTTGATTTTTTCTATAGAAACCTAATGCGAAAAGCTTTTCGTGGCTTTTTTTCGGGTCTTTTTCCTTTCATGGCGATTTTTTCGTGATTTCGCGGTGTTTTTGTTTTTCTATTAATATTCAAACATTTTCATGATTTTTGAGCACCTTTCGCAAATTTCCGGTTAAAAGTTTAATTTGTTTTTTTTTTTTTTGTATAAATGCTTAACAAAAAATTTGCCGATTATTTTTGCTCAAAAAATATCAGACGAAAAAAATACAGTGGCACGTGCGTTTAACTATATATATACATATGTATGTATATTTGCGTATATTCCAATGAATGTAGCATACTCTCATAAAAATTTGAAATAATAAAAGCCATCAAACTCAAACAAACCAGCATGGGGTACGAACATAAAAGTATCTACGCCCAAACTATTTGTACAAGAAGAATTGTTCATTATCCACGAAGCTAATCATTGAACTCTGCAAATTCTCAAATATGTATCTGTGTAGTTATTTTTAACTTTTGCGCAAATTGAGCAAGAAGAAATCTTTAATTAGTGGCAACAAAGAAAATTGCGAATCGCATTAATCTTTAGTTATGTGCTATTTACTACCTACCTACCAAGTAAGAAATATTTCCAAGTTTGTTTTCCTACTTAAACGCGATGAATTAGCTTTGATTTGCCAGCAACATTCACTTGTTGACAGCCGGCATGAGTGATAAATCCGGCAAGCACCTAAGAGTATCGTTAAAAGCTAACATTCGTTAAAATATTTATGTATGTATGTATGCACTTATGTATGCCTACGTGATTGAACTGCATTCTACATACATATATACATACACACACGTTCGTTGAGGTGCAACTGTGGCTCAACAACCAACCATAGATACATGATCTATTTGCAATTAGCATTATGCGAAGCGAATACGGATGCTTTTGTCGCTGCTTGACCATATCGCATTATGACTGCTTTCGAAGGAATTTCATCAAGGAAGTTTCGCCTAGGGTCAGAGTTTAATCAAATTCCCTTTCACGGGAGTTCAAATAGTTCAAAGTCTCTCTAATTAAATTAAGATAAATATCTGAAGTCCGTTAGGCATTGAGAATTTCAAGTAAGTTACATGTGTGTGTGTTTTCTACGCATTATTTTAAATTAAATTAAAAGCTCGAATACATGCCAGTAGTTACAGAGCACCCTGACGCAGTAGCCCTGATGATATTGAATCATAAAAGGCAATAAGTGATTAAAAAAGGTAGTAGCATAAGTATAGGAGAGGCTTTACAATTTTATTTCACACAGAAACAAGAATACATTTTACGTTTTTTTTTGTCCCATAAATCATTCGATGTCAATGCAGAATGTTCTCCCCTCTGGAAAGCGTTCTGTACAAAATACTAGTCGTCGAAGTGCTGCGGATGATATTCGCCATAGTGCTACTGAATAAGACGACAAAAGTCCAAGCACGAGGAATATAGATAACGCTTTACAAACTATCGGAGCTTGGTCAGGCAAAATTTTCGAAATCTGATGGTTTGATACATTTTGGAATCAGTT